AAAATTTGAAGGTTTCATCCAGTGAGGACCTTTGCCCACGGAAAATATAAGTTCCTAGACCCGAAGGCGATAAATTTTTTAATGTGGACCTCTACGCCATATTGTTAAAGTTTGAAGACTCCAACTACAAGTTTTCCTTTTTAACATCAAATAAAACATTCATATAAAAACTACAATTTGCTAGATATATGTCATATATTTTGTTCAAAATTTTATTATTGAGCCTTGGGTTATTGAGTTTCTTTCATTAAAGTGAACTTTTTATTATTATTTTTAGATTTATTCCTGTCAAACTAGTCAGTAAAGTAAAATTATTGAAGACATTGCTAGATGATTAATTGAAATCATAAAAATCAGAATTTTTTAATTTATTAAATTCTAACTTATTAATGGAAGTTATAATTTATGGCTATAAATATACTTCTTTTACTTGAAAAAAAATATGCAAAAATCATTTTCATCTTCTGAACTTTATAAAAAAATTAATTCTATAATTATTTTGTTGAGATATTGTTTTGAAGTAATATTTGAGATCACCTGTTATTGTTAAACAAGTTATTTGATCATTGTATTGGGAGTTATTGACCGAAGATGTCACTATAGTTAACTGCAAATAATTTCACTTTAGAGTTTCGTGTTGTCACGAATCTCGATACATAAATCTTCTTAATTTCTACATTCTACTATTGTTCTGAAAAGGTATACACAAATAATAATTTTCCAACACAAATAGCAATTCTTTCAAACTGCAATATTATGAAGTTACTTTGAGCATTTTATAATGGTCTTCTCCATCGAATAGAACTTTATACTGAAGATTTATTTTTTAAAAGGCATAAAACGTGACTGTGTAAGATCAAGTTTCAAGCTTTAATGAGTCTAAGCGGGTGCGTAGGCATAAAAGGGCGTAAAGAATGATTAGGTGGCAAGCCCAAAATTCAGACATAAGCGAGCTTTCTATAACATTAGAGTTTGTTTGGTACAGCTCAAAATTGAATTAAAATTGAAAATATAGTCATTATTGAATCTCATTCATATAATAAAAGTCAACAATAACGGTTAATTTTTAATTTTAATCCGATTTTAATCTCTACCGAACACGCATTAGACGATCATGGGTGGAACCAAACTTTTGTATTGTGAGTTTAAAAATTAAAATACAATTTTTAAAAACAACATAATGTCTCTGTCCCATTTATATAGGTTGATTTTTCTTATTTTATTGTCTCAATTATATAATCATGTTTCTTTATTGAGAATGTTTTTTTTTTACTAATATACATTTATTTATTTTGTCTAATTATAACCAATTTACTACTTGTTGTTAATAATTAAATAAAGGTAAATTATGAAAGTTTTTGGCAAAAATTGCATTTTCAATAACACTAAATAAGATTTTTTTTTAATCCATGTGAAAAAACAAAATCAGTCTATATAAATGGGACTGTGGAGTAACGTTAATGAAATTAAGTCAATACATTGTAGCCTATTTGTTGCACTATTTGCAACCATATTTTTTTAAAGGATGAAAGTTAGAATTTTCTCGTCCAGAATACAGCTCGAGCGGAATCAAGCGCGTTGCGGGCCTTTTAAGGACACTCGAGCGGAACTCAGGCGCTCCAAGGATGGCAGGCTTCAGTAATTCGTGCTCAAGCGTCTTCTTTGAGCCTTGCACGATGCTCAATGGAGGTTTATAATAGTGCAATGCAGACTCTCGATTACATATTTTTCCTATTCTCACTCAACACCAGACAACGCAAGCTCCAAATTCAATAACAACTCGACAATTACAACACAAACTTTAATGATGAGATACAGATTTGAGTGAAAAAAGGAGAGGAGGAGAGAAAATCAAACATAAATATTAAAACCTTTAATTTAAAACATAAAAATTCCATACCTGATCGAAGAATAGAGATTGAAAATGGAGATTGGAGGAGGATTTATTTTTATTTTTTGTTTATTGAATAATAGAGTAAACTATAGTTTGTAAACACGAGGATGGGTTAATATAGAATTTTTGAAAAAAAAAAAAAAAAATTCAAAAAATTTTGTGAGATCACTTGACCCCACATGACCCATGTGGGTCCGGCAGTGAAGATGATTCTTAACCAGCTTCAATAGGAGCACAATGTTTTGCCATGTTTTCGTGGTTAGCCAAATAAAGCACTTACTATGGTTAGCCAAATGTTTCATAATCATAAAAAACTAATATTTTATTGGCACATGCAAGATCACTCGAATAAAATGCTAACATATTTGCACATACAACTCAAAAGACTACGGTTGCAACTGCACTCAAAAAGGTCATATAATATTGTTGTTCTTTAACTAATGTTAGGTAACCCAAATTGATTGAAAATAGTATATTACGAAAGAGATCTATGTCATGACTTGTTGACCTTACTCAAAGCTTTACCAGAGAAATTTTTTAAAATTCATAGGCATTCAGGTAGACTAAAAACTAAAAAATACTAGACTTCAAAATAAAGTGGGTGCTTCACCATAAGTTATTAAGCTAACTAAAGCATTAACAATTATGAAAATTATTTACATATTTCACCCAAAAAAAAAGAAAAAAGAAAGAAAGAAAGACCTAATTTTCAACTATTCATCCTCTGTAAATGAAGCTGACAGTGTAGATGTTGAACCGGCTTCAAGATCAACAACCCTTTTACAGTCATATACAGATGACCATGATCTAACTTTCTCAATATAGGATGATTCTAAATAAGAATGCAAGACTTTGTCAGCTTCGGAGCTGGTAGCCCGGCTGCTAACAAACTTCTTGCCACCATATTCATCAGGAACAACCATGACTTCTCGCAATGGCACTTCCCCTTTCAAGAAACTCACAACCTGCCTCATGCTAGGCCTTTTGGCAGGGGCATTGTTGGAACACATTAGTCCTAATTTAAGAACCATTACAACTTCTCCTTCATCATACTCTCCTTTTAATCTTGTATCTACTACTTCAAGAATAGACCCTTCTTGCCACTTGTCCCACACCCAATCCACCAAAATCAATTCCTCAGGCAATGCTTTTACTTCAATAGGCTTTCTCCCACACACAATTTCAAGCAATAATGCACCAAATGCAAACACATCTGAACTTGTTGTAGGCTTACCAGTCTTGGTTAGTTCAGGGGCTAAATATCCCAGTGTACCTACAACTTTTGTTGTGCTTGAATCTGTTCCATGTTCATATAGTTTGGCAAGTCCAAAGTCACCTAGCCTTCCATTTAACTCCGAATCCAACAGCACATTGCCGGCTTTGATGTCTCGGTGAATCACAGTTTGTTCCCATTCTTCATGTAAATAAAGCAGTCCTGAAGCCACGCCTTTGATGATCTTGAACCTCTGCTCCCAAGATAAAATCAGCTTGGGTTCATAAAAAATGTACTTATCTAAGCTCCCATTAGACATGAAGTCATAGACGAGAAATAAATCATTTCTATGTCGACACCATCCCAGTAACTGGACCAGGTTTCTATGCCTAAGGCGTCCTATGGTCTCAATCTCTGATAAAAATTCACGCATACCCTGCTTCGATCCACTGTTTATTTGCTTCACCGCAACTTTGGCATTTGTGTTAGGCAAAGTTCCTTTGTAAACACGGCCAAATCCTCCGAACCCAATTAGCTCGTCGTCTTTAAAACCACCAGTTGCTTTCTTGAGCTCTTTGTAGGAATATCTGTGCGGGCCAATATCAAGTTCCCAGGGTTCAATCACATCCATAGTCGTGAGTTTCTTGATCATGTACAAGACTATCCCAATTGCAAGTACCACAGAAACAACTGCTGATAAACAATAAACTAAAATTAAAGGGAGATTATTCTTTTTTGATCTAGGAACTGAGGGCAATGAAGATAAATCAAGCGATTGTGCTTGCCCATTAATTTTGAAACTCCATCCAGAGATATAGTGAGAACTAGCAAGTTTACCAGTTGAAGCAGAGAATCCTACATACATATACTCCAAGAAAATTGGTGAAAGATCCACCGGAAATGACAGAATTGGAACACTTGGTTTTGATGAAGAAAGTGAAAGGGTAACATTCAATACATTACTAACTGAATCATAATCAACCCAGGCCTGAACAATCTTTCCACTTTGCAGATATAGTTCTTGCTTAATGGAATTACCTAGTGAAAAACAGGAGCCATTGACAGAAATATTTGAGACTAAACTATTGATATCAATACCAACATGGTTACCATTAATATCCTTGAAATCGTAATCTGAAACCGTATCGAATTCAACTGCGAAAAGATGGTTGGAGAAATTGCCATTGTCATCTGCATTCAGAAGCCCTAAATACTGTCTTGGGAGAGCACCCTTGAGCTCTTTTGACTTGGCAATAGTGAAAGCAAATCCATGGCCGCCCAATTTTGCATACTCAGGGACTATTGCAAAAGCAAAAGCTGTTGAAAAGGAAAAGGCTTTTCCATTTGTGGAGTTCTTGAACTCAAATGGGATTGAATAGAAAGCATGGCCCAAGACTTCAGATGCGTAATTTGTGAGTCTCAAGATTCCATTTTGTTCAATCTCAGCAACCCCATTTAGACTTACGTTCTTGCCCACACCCTTAAATCCATGAAAAGTGAACTCATCAGACTGGGAAAACACAGGACTAGACACAGAAAGAAGCACCAAGAAAAGTAAAAGCTTTTTGGCCATAGATAATTCTTGAATTGATGAAGGGATTTTGGGATCAAACTTGTTCTTAGCCGAGTAGATCTGATGGGTTTTTCTGAAATTTTTTTGTTGGAAATTTGGTTTTGCTTTTTGATTATTTTCTTTGTGATTGCTGGCGTGGGAGAGTGAGTGGTTGGGTGGGTGGATAGAGAACAAAGGCATTTCTTTACTGTCTTTGGATTGTATAAAAACGAAAATGTGAGAAGTGATTTTCACGCTAAGAGTGTGTTTGGTAGGGATTTTTGGGGAAAGAATTGATTTTTGAATAGTGATATGATGGGAAATGTGTGGTTGAAAAAGAAGAAAAAAGTATTGATGTGATGGAAAATATTATTTTATTGAAGAATGTGTGGTTGAAAATGAGAATTGATTTNGATTCTCTTTGAGGAACCGCCGTTCTTCGAAAAAAAATGATTCAGGAGACCTCTGGTCCCCTTTTTGCCTGTTTAATAGCTTGCGACGAGTACAATGAGGATCAGAACCGGACAACCTCTTTAGTCACAACTTGAATGACAATATTTGTGTTGCAAAGATTTTTATTATTGATTTCTAAAACAATATGATGCTTGAATTACAGGTTGCAATCAAATTGTTAATAAATTGTACAAGTAGCATGATCGAAAATTATTTATGTTGTGAGACGTTGAATAGATGATTGTGCTATATGTAAATAATAAATTTAAATAACGGTTTGGCTAAGATTAAAATTCTATTAAAATTGAAAATATAATCGTTATTGAGTCCCACTCGTTTAATAAAAGTTAATAATAACGACTAATATCAGTTTTAATCTGATTTTAATCCTAACCAAATATGCTCATAATTGGATTAGAATTTCTTTAATCAAATAAAAAAAATTCAATTTTCTTTTGAACACACTATTTGTACGTAAATCATTATAAAATTATTTATGTACAAATAGTATTATTGATATTGGTCTTATTTTACAAATATATCCCAGTTCTACCCTGCTTGGTCAATAGAAAGTGAGAAAAGTCGTAATTGACCTTTACATGCTTTACTAATCTATGTTTGATATGGGAAAATATAAATTTTAATAAATTTATATCATTGGAAGCAATAAAATCACAATAAAAAAAAGACACAAAAAGAATACATAAAACTTGAAGAGATTCGCCTTAATATAAGATTACGTCAAAGTCTACCTTGCAGTAATTATATGATTAAAAGAAGTTCATAAGAAAAAAAATCACACGCCTTATATTTTCTATTTATAGAGATCAATTTACGACTCCGCATGGAAACAATAATTAAGTTTTACAACTTAACAGAATATATATGTCTCTGTTTGATTTAGATTAAAAAAAATCATTTTTTTTATTAAATGTTAATAAAAGTTAATGAAATGTGTGGTTGAAATGAAATATCAAGGACCACATTAATTGTATAATTAAAATGAATTATTGACTTTAAATTAAATTTTAAACAATATTTTTAAAACCAGGAGTATGTACATAATACTTATATAACTTGTGTCTCCCACGAGAAAAAACTAGTTGTGCAACGTTTGGCCCTTTTTATTCCTCATTAAATTGTAATTTATTTTTTTTCTGTTTTCTTATTATCCACACATTTTTCAATAAAATAATATTATACGTAAATTAAATAAGTTTTCCTTCTTTTTTAATAATAAATTTTCCAAAAATTTATTATTACTTTCATTATAATGTGGAACAGTGGAGACCAAATGGACAGTTAGAGATAGATCTTGAAAGAAAAAAGACAAGATACCTAAAGCTGAGTAGATCAAATTTGTTCTTTGCCGAGTAGATCTGATGGTTTTTCGTTAATTTTTTTGTTAGAAATTTGGTTTTGAGTTTTGATTCTTTTCCATGTCGCTGGGGTGAGTTGGTGGGTGGATAGAGAAGAAAAATTGGCGTCTATGGATTGTATAAAAAGGAAAATACGAGTGGTGATTTTCAGGCGAATTAACATTCTATGGACGTCAACCGACCATGCTAGTTGACCGATTAAGGTAAAATCCGATGAAGACTCTTCAGACACGAGTGTGAATAGTCAATACTTATTGGCCAATATGCTTGGTCGAAAGAAAGTGAGAAAAGTCTAGTATGACATTGACAGGCATTACTATTCTATGGTTCTGTTCGATTTCCATTAGTGTGTTTTACTGTTTGCTATAGAATTATTTTCAACCACGCATTTAGATTATAAAATATTTCACACGTTTTTTCAAAAAATTTCTCTACTTTTTAACCACATATTCTCCTAAAAATACTATTCAAAACCCTTTTATTTTCCAATATGCTTTGTATGGGCAGAGGGAAGTGGGACGAAATATATTGAGAATTATAAATCCTAATTTTATATTGTCAAAAGTAAGAAAATAGCAATAAAGAAATAAAGAGACAAAAGAATATGTAAGATTTATAGAGATTCGTCTCAATGTAAGATTACGTCCACGTCTGCCGCTATAGTAATTCTATGATTAAAAGAAGTTTATAAAATAAAAATTATACACCCTATCTTTTTTAATACATAGAGGTTGATCTACGTATTGACTCCATATAACGAAAATAATTAAGTTCTACAGCTTAACAAAATATACAGACTGATCTCATCGGGTGACATGGTACACTATAATAAGTTATTGGAGATAATTGTTAGTTACAAAACTAATTATACCACATATTCTAGTGTGTCGCGTCATCGGTGCTTAACTTATACTAAGCACTCGAGTGAGTTGCAAAATTGATTACACCACATATTAGGGCTGAACATGATTCGATTCGATTTAATTCTGTTCTGTTCTAAAGAGAGTCGAACCGAACCCGAATTTTCGAGTATTTAGTAAATGGAACTGTCGAGTCTAAATTTAATTATAGAATCGTTCGGGTTCGATTTCATACGGTTTGATTCTATTCGGTTCACGATTTCCTTACAATAATTGATTTTTTTTATAGTACAACAATACTGCATTAATTTGACTATGACACGTTCAATCTTAACTCTTACAAAATAACGTAGTTCAATCTCGTGATATCTTTTACACATCTCTTTGTTGAGCTCTTCATATATTTGACTATTAAAATCACGGGAATAGGAAAACGACGAGTTCACAATAATAGAATGACAGAAACAATATTACGGTAAAGATTTGAGTAAATTTTAGGTTAATTTGATTAAGTTGCGTTTTGCTAAAAATTCGAAATAGTAAAATCATATTTTTAGCCTGGACTAAATTAATTAGTTAGCAAAATTATTTTAAAAAATAAAATAATTTGACTTATTTACGATAAAAAATTAGAGAAATTCGATTTTTAGTTTAGAACCGAAAATCAAATCAAACTCGTTGATTCTTGATTTAAATACCCGTTTGGGTATTTAACTTAAGAAGAACCACTCAGTTTAGTTAAGTTCGGTTCGGTTCGATTCAAAAATTTTGTCCAATCATATCACATATTGTAGTGTGCCACATTATTCAATGTTTAGCATGAGTCAAGCACTAGTGCTAAGGAGATTAGTCCGACACACTACAATAAATGATAGAGATAATTGTTTGTAGCAAAACTGATTACATCGCTTATTGTGGTGTGCCACGTGATCTGATACTTATGGGAACAATTCCATAATAATATGTGTGTGAGTGATTTAGATAAAAATCATAATTATGTCCAAATACTATTGGGACACATATCTCAACAGCTCTACAACTTTCATCGTGTATTTTTGTTCTCGGATCAAATGTATTATTACCTATTTATAATTCATTGAAATAAAAAATAATGGCTCGAGTGGATGGTGATCAAAGCTAGCCGTCATCATAAGAATCCATTGATTTTTTATTTTTATTTTTATTTTTCTTTTTTAAAGTCACAGACAGCTTGAAAACTCTAGAATTCGGTAACAAAACAGGACTCCAAAACAAGTCAACGTTTAATAACTTGTACTAAGCCCATGTTTGACGAGGATTAAAATCAGATTTTAGCAGATTTTAATAAAACGAGTGATTAAAAAGTTGTGAATCCCATAAAATATGTAATTAAAATTAATTGTTGACTTTGCGTTAAATCAAAATATCAAAGAGGGAGTAATATTCTTTTGGTAAGTAAACTAAAATTTTGATTGGTTCTAAAATAATAAATTGAAAGTTGACATCCATCACATAACGTGGAACTCATTATCAGTCCGTCCATAAAGATGAAGTGGAAGAAAATGTCATTTACCACACGCCACTAAAACATTTCTTGTGTGGACTGAGTTCAGAGGGGAGACATGAAGAAGTTGGCTCTTGCGAGGCGAGTGGGGGACGGGACGGGACGGGACATGATGAGAATCAATTATTTAATGACACTTGTCCATTTATACTTCGACATCGATTCAAGTTTCTAATTTTTGGTCGATTATTTTGTAGAGTAATGCTATTCATCCCTATTGGGGATGAAAACACAGTTTATGTGACATTAAATGATAGATGAAATTAAATAAGTCATTTAATTTCACCTTTCATTTAACCTATCATTTAAAGCCATCTAAACTGTATTTCCATTCCCATTGGGGATAAATAACATTACTCTGTTTTTTAATAGGGCAATCTCTAATTCAGCCATGTTTGATCCACATTCTAAAAAAATTCATTCTTTCAAAATTTACTTTCAATCACACAATTTTCAATTAAATTATATTATACGTAAATTCAAAATTTTTCTTTTTTTTTAATCACATATTTAAAATGCATTCTTTTGACAATAATGTTAGTCAGACAAACCCCTCAATTTTGAAACAAAAAGACATATTTTAGTAGTACAATTCTCTCTACTGCCAGCTTTCTTAAAAGTCACGCTCTGCATGTTAACCACATGGGTTCATTCTGATACATTAAGCCCCTACGACAAATTTATAAAGACGAATAATAGAGAATTGGGTGAATTTTACAAACGGTCACTGAAATTACGTCAAAATCACAAAACGGTCACTGAAGTTTAAAATTTGCACTAACGGCCACTGAAGTATCATCTGATTTCAGTAATGGTCATTGGAGGACCTTTTTCATTTTAATTGGAACATGGACCAAAATAGTTGAAACTTGAACCTTGAAGACCTAAATCGCAAATCTAACAATAAATGAGTAATATTTATGAATATTTGATTAAAATTAAAACTTTATTTTATTAAATTCACAA